CGCACCGTGCACTCGTCTAGTCCACTGTCCTGGAGCTTCCGTATGAGGATGTTAAGGGAGACAGTGTCAAAAGCCTTGCTGAAGTCAAGGTAGACAACATCCATGGCTCTCCCCTCGTCCAGCCAGCCTGTCACCCCATCATAGAAAGCTATGAGGTTCGTCAGACATGACTTCCCCTTGGTGAATCCATGCTGACTGCTCCTCAGCAGCTTCTTCTCCTCCATATGCCCGGAGATTCTCTCTAGGATGAACATATATTAACATATATATTAACATATATATTAACATATATTAATAACAGGACAATCAGTCATCATATGCTGCGTACACATTAGTGCAGTTCTATATACTATTTTTTACAGTTAATGACCACTTTATATGTATTATATTTGTCACATGTGGAATGCCAAATGTGATGAAGATACAGGAGATCATACTACCACATCTACTGCTTAGAATACTATTCCCATAAAGGGAATTCCTTGCTTACTAATAAAGAAGTGCTTAAATACATAAAAAAGAATCAAAATAAATGCTGGGAATTTCAAGATTGGTATGAACCAACTTGTATCTATTAGAAAATATGGGGCTAGTCTGTCACTAAAAGGCTATCTCATCTTACAGTGATCCAGCTTCCAAAATTGTTGATTACTTTCACAGCACATGCTAAAATGGTAAAATTAGAAAAGTGCTTCAGATAACATAAGGGTTGTCCATTAAATTCTTTATGCCTTATTTCATTTTGTTTGTTTTGTTTATACTTGTCTCATCTCTATTGCAGTTTGGCATTGGTATTACCATCATACAGCTTTTATTATATTAAAGCCAAAATAGAAGAACCAATAATTCAAGCTAGATGTAAGTACTATGAAGGTTGCCTATTTTTGTTAACTATTGCCAAGGCTTAGATTTACTTAAAAATGCAATGTTAAAAATTCATAAAATTTGTGGAATTTAATGTGATCATGATGTACCCAAATCTGCAGCAATGATTCTAATCCATTCAAACATCTAAGGTACAAAAGATATTCTACATAGCTAGAATATGAGCAGGTACCCTGGTTTCACTGGTAACCCCTTCCCCCTTGCTATGTACCTGTAGAATCATTGCTTTGTGTATCCTCTGTTGCTGTCATTTTAAGGGTCTGGATACTAAGATTCTCATTCTATTAGCAAATTGTGATTCTATTGTGATTTGGGCTATAGCAGCAAAGCTTCTTTCATTATTTTTTTGCAGTAGTTACGATGCTAAATCTAGCAAATTACCTTTAGAAATAGATTAATAAGAGAGTGCTGTTTGGTTTGGCTTGCTGTTGCGCTTTGATATTGCACTTTTTTATTAAATAGTTTTAGTGGATGTTTGTGATACATTTTTGGATTAGACTAATTTCAAGACATTTTCAGATTCTGGAGAGATTATGGGAAATGATACTTGTGAGTATTGAAAAATTTTTTGTTTAGTAGGTGTAGTTTAGCTGTGATCTGGATAGACAAAACAGAACCTATCTCATTGATTTAACTTTATCCAAGATTTACAATAGACTTCACCAAGTATGTTGACCAAGTGTGTATGTTTATGTAAGTACACAGTTAGAAAAACATTATAAAGATTTTTGACAGTTTTGTAGTTTGGAGAAAACTTAATTACCATAAGTCACCATCATCTTCCATCACCTCTGGATATGAGATGKAATATGGCAAATTTTTACTGAAAAACAAATTTGTGTTATTTATTTTGTAGTGTTGTTAGTTACTGAGTAGCTCAAAACTAGGTCTCAGTGARTGAATATGGTTCTCTTTATGGATTAGATTGTCTAGTTTTGCACTCAGGTCATTATAACCTGCAAAACAGACCCTTGAAATAGCCGCAGTATATGGAAGGTACTTGAGAAGTAATGGGCCCGGGCATGTTCTTCAGTCTTCAGAGATGTTTGTCTCTTTTTCCAGACTACAGCTGTACATAAAGTGAACCTTTGATCTATCTATGCACAATATTTTTATTCAAGGGGCTGTTTGAATAAAATATTGGTTTGTGACCCCTTTTGCTTTACGCTGTTTTTTTTCTGTTTCCCTGCTTTCTCTTTCTGATGGATAGTCAAAAAGGGCAAGTATATTCTTGTTGCTCAATTTCCTTCTGTTTACTACAGTTGATATTTTTTCACTATATTTCTATTCCTACTGGRTGTTCTCCTCTGTATTTGTTGTCTCAGGATTTCTCTCATTACCATTGGGTACCAGAACTATAGAAAGGAAAAATAAAAATGTAAAGAGTTTTTTGTTGTTTTGGTTTTCATGCACATTTCAGTATGTGGCTAATATCTCTAATCCTTGTTTGTTTGGTCCTGTCATCTGGTGTTCMATGACACCATTTTTTTAAAGCTGTTGTTTTCAGTAGTATTTAAAGTGATTTTTTATAAAGCTAAGTTTGTAAAAACTATTGCTGAAAGTACCATAAACAGTGATTTGCCATTGTGTTCTAGCTGCTCAGTTCCCAAATATTTTTTTGTATCAGATTGTAATTCTAATGAAAATGTGCCACACGTTTTCATGTTTTTATGTTAATTAAATGTCATGTCTAGCTAAATTGTTGCCGAAACATTATTGTTGCCAGATCTGTTGTATATAACAATCAAGTAATTTCTTCCCGCAGTCTGAAATACTGACAGCTATACAATATAGTAGTAGGAAAGTATTCCAAACTAAACATTTATTTTTAAATTCAAGAATGCATGCAAAAGTTAGTCAAACAATTCAAGAAAAAACAGTAATAATGAGAATGAGCCTAATTTCTTATGTGCTGTTTTCTCTTCATTTTTTTAGACTCAGAAACACTGAAGCTTGATCATTTTGATGAAGCTGGCTATACATTTATAGCACCAAGGTTGGTCACTTTGCTAGTGGGAAGCATTATTTCAGCAGTAATTAGGAAATTTGGCCATTTGGTAATCAGTAAAATCTGAGCTATTGTGGTCTTGTGAAATTTAAGCAGATTTCTTACCTTTATATTCATTTTTTTTGCTGTGACTTTTAAGATTTTGCTGCTTTATCCAGTAGCTTCTTATTTGTAAAGAAGTGCAATAATCACTACAGCTTCAGGTTTTCCTCTTTGTCTTTTAAGGATAGAGAGTGTTAAAGGTAAAGTGTTATTGCTGCCATCATCCTCTCCATCACTTTAGACTGAGTTAAATTTTGATTCACTGAACAAAAAGATTCCTTGAGTCATTGAAATTTGATTAAGTGCAACATTTTCCTTAAGTCCTCTTGGGTACTTATGCAGTCCTAATTGCCCTTGTAAATGCAAGTTTATTCTGGAAACATGCTAGGATCAATAGTTTGGAAAAATGAAATTCCTTTGAAAGATAGTTATGATAAATAATACAAGCGTTGTACCTTCAAGAATAAWCTAGCATTGTTCTTTTTTCTTATCTTATAAATTTCTGTATCCTAATAAATTTATAATGTAAATTGATTCATACATAAAACATATTCCTCTATACTGTAACCATTTAACTTAATATAACCAATTAAATTAATTTCTCTGAAGGACTGAAATTCCTAATAACCAATTGTCTGAACAGTTACCATCAAGTTGCTAATTGTTAAACTGATCTACATGTACAAAACTTGTTTGATATGGATTTCTGTAAAAATGTGGATGTTTGTATAGTATGGCAAATTCTTCTTACAATTGTTCAAGATTCTTATAAAGTGAAGTAGTAAGATAGCTTGCTCATAAGAAATATTTTCACAGAACTCCTTAGTTCATCAAGTTAATGTAGTTTATAGAGTTTGTTTAAAAAGATAGCTATCCTCTTTATTGTTGTGTCCTTCCAATTTATTTTACTCTTCAGATTTTAATTAGAATTGAATATGTTTAATCCTACTCAAAATCCAACATTTGCTTTCAGAAAGCACACTGACGATTATTTTACATGCTTGACCTATAATTTACCTATAATATATTGCTTTATTGTGTTACATTATGTAAACAACAGTAGTTTACTGTTTATGTTTCACGTGTTAAAAAAGCGCATATGTGATATGTACTATATTAAAATTGTCTTTTAAGAATTCTCAGAGGATATGATCTTATGACATAAATGCAAACCTAGCTGAGCACTAAGTGACTATCTATCTGACAGCAATCAACATATTTTCCCATACAGCCTAACCTAGTGGGAGTTTAAATTCACTGCACATTTGCCTGCCAAGTTCACAGACTCTATTGGGTCCTGACTTAAAAGCATACACAGTCCAAGCAAACTTTTAAAGAATATAAGCTTTATGCCCTGTGTGGAGGTCTTTTGTAATTCAGGTTTAYGCAGACACTTGAATTCTATTTTATGAATATGAAATATTAGATGTAGTCAGGAGTAGGACTATAGATACGTTGATCATGGGGATTACAGTAGTGCCAACCACCCTTTACACAACATGCTAATAAAAGTACCTGACCTTTCTATAAATTTTAGGTAATTACTATAACTGATTCTGCTAAAGCTGTTGCCTGAATTCTGTTAAAAACTAGAGGGAGATTCTGGCCAAAATTAAGTCATTTTAAGCCAAGTAGGTAGTATTTAATGTTGAAAGCAAGATGGGATGAATTGKTCTTTCTCTCTGAGATCTCCAAGGACTGGAGCATTGCTGTGGGCTTGGTAGTTTACTGACAGTGTCTGTCCACATTCATGGAGTAGCATCTGTCTCACCATGACCAGTCAATCCAAGGTTAGTTTGSTCCTCTCCTGTGCTGATCATCTAGAAAAGCACATAGTGAGTATCATCAGGGGACTGAGTTCAGCCTTGAATCACTACTTGCTTCTTTCTGGATGAGTTTTCTAACCAGTTAAATAGCACRAAGACTACAGAGGGCACCACTGCTTCATTAGGCGTGTTGTCCTCAAATAAAAATGACATGGAAAGAAAGTATCTATGATATCCTGTGCCATCAATAGTAGACATATTAGAACATCTTATAAAACTTCTATAGACTGTAGACTATTTTGAAAATATCTGGTTTCACCAAACATTGGAATTGGATGAGATGGAAAATGGGTCTGTGAAAGCTTGGTTGGATATCCGTCCCTACAGACGAACTGTTTTTTCTTTGGCTAGGCTCCAGCAGTCCTTCTTGAAGTTACAAATACTTGAGTTTCAAAAGCATATTACACAAAGCTGACAAGACTATTTTGGTGTTTTTCAGAGAATACTGTACTGATGTAAAAAAATCAGAAAACAACACAGAATTTCTATTAAATTTCAATGAATTTATTGATAGAAATACTCCAAGCAGTCCTTCATGTAAGTATTCTCTCCTGTTCACTCAAATTATGCCTGTAAAAAAATACTTATTTGTAAACAAGTTAGTCAAAGTGACATCTTACATGTCCAAGTCCATGTTTTTAAGTTTTATCTTTAGTTTTAAGAAGGTAAAATTATATCTGGCAGTGGATTTTTCTACCCAAAATTGAGATTCTAAAATTAGTTTGCAGTTTTCTTCGTTTATTTAGAAATGATTGCAGGTCATTATGCCTATAATGATGGCTGTGCTTCCCTTCAACATTATAATCTAGCAGCAGTCAAAAGCCAGTTGATTTTCTTACACTCAAAAAAAAACCATGAATTCAGTTTTTCTTCTTGAGTTAAGGAGACAAAATAAGTCTTAAGCAGACTTTAAAATCTCTTAATGAAATCTTCTGTTTGATTTCTTCTCAGTTCGTATAGCAAAAAAAAAAAAAAAATCCACCAACCAAGCAGCCAACCAAAAACAATAGATAAAATAACCAGTATCCAAGACAAGAAAATTTGATGCTATTACTGGTTCACATATTGTTTAAAGTGATCTTACATGGGCATAACTTGTTTAAATTCACAGCTAGGTCTAACTGCTGCAGTGGTGAGCCCTGAGATTGTGAGTGGTACTCGTATATTGAAATCAAGTCCTAAACCCTTTACAGTGAATGAGAAAAACAAGGCATTCATTGTTAATCTGTTGTTCAGACAAAGAATTGAATGTCTGGATTTGCTTATATATAAATAATTGGCATTATTAATCACTTTTAAACATATAGATATTTTTCCTTGCTTTTCCCAAGTCTTCTTGACATGTTGCTCTTAGGTACCACTGWTCAACTGAGGGAAAGACCAGGCCTTCTTACAGGGTAGTTTTCATCTGGAAAAAAAAAGCATATATATATATATGTATGTATATATATATGTATGTATGTATCTCATAAGATACATATGTCTTTGCTAGATCACATAACTGGTTACAAGCTTAGTATGAAATACGGCTATCTTCTATTTGGTGATCTCACTAATAAATCACTGTCTGTCTGAAATTTGGTTAAGTCCCCTAAATCAGTCTAGAAAAAGAAAGCTTTCATTTCAAATGAATAAACTGGTGAATAAATGAATATTCTAGTTTCTTAGGCACCAGTTTTATAAACTACTTTTGAGGACACATTTAATGATAATGTACTGTACACCAGGGCTTAGTAAGCAGTTATGCCAAATAAAATACACAAGTTTGTTGTTTTATTTTGAAATTGACAATAAATTTMTCTTTTTTTCTTTTGCTTTCTCTAATAATTTCAAGTTACATAAAAATAGTCTTCTGAAAAAGAAATAATTCTGACAGAAGGAAGCAGCAGCCTTTAGAATTTCACTTGGTAAAAGGGCTGTTATTTTTTAACTCATTTCATTTAATCTTAGCCAGTAGTTAGCCAGGAAGTCTAAACTAGCTGTGCCAGCTACCTCTATCAATACTAAGGGGAGAGTAAAAGCTATTCACCCTACTTGTCTCAGACATCTGCTTTATATAAGCAAGTATCACTTTCATGAGATATGTGGATTACCAGGGCATCCTAAACCAAAGGAATAGCTAACAATATAGCGGATGTCCATATTAGCAGAGCAAAATAGCACTCTAAGACATAYATTGATGTCTTAAGAGTTTCCATAGAGTAGAGTTTCCGTTTAATTTCCAAGAAAATGTGAATGTGGCGAGGCCCTCCAAATCCGATCTGTGGGAAGATTAATAGGGCTTTTTGTTACAGATGAAGAAATACTTTTAAAATGGTACCTTGAACTTACATTACATACTATACCATAGCAGCACACATGTGAATTGGCAGGTGGATCTGGGGCATTAGACACAGTTTAACAGGGTGGCCTGGCTGAATAATGTGCATATTTAGAATTAAATTAACATGCACTTTCTCATGCTGCTAGATGAGAGCTTTTAGCTCTGTGTATAGCATGATTAAGCATTTAGGTTTCATTTGGTTTTACCACAAACAAACCATTTTTGCTAAGGGTTGCAAAACTTTTTAATACTGAAATACTGTATTCATCAATTTGTTCTGGGAAAGTAGTTTGAATTTGCATTCTTTTTATTAAAAGTTGAGTCTGAGTTTCCTGGAATCGGAAACTCAGGGTAAAACCCAGGGCACATCATGGATCTGTACAATGTGAAAGTGAAAAATCTTTTTTTGTGTGTTTTTATTTTTTCCAAAAGGAGTTTTCAATCCTCTCTGCAGGGCAGAGCTGGTGGAGTTTTGCCTAGATCAGATTTGGGCTTCCAGTCATGGTTGTGACATTGATTTGCTTTGTGACATTAGAGTCCAAGTGCCATCTTTTTCCTTTACATTGCCCAATTCCACTTTGGCCTTGCTTTTCCTTCTTTAGTCTTGTTTTTCCACAGCAATAAAATGAATCTTAATGTACTTTCTTCAGTTGACCTTTCCAGGAACTTTCTTATGCAAAGTGATGCTGAGAAGGACCCTTGAGAAGCACTGTCTCAAACCTTCTGTTCAAAATTCCTTAAAAAAGACAAATTTACCTGAGTTATTTATCCWAAATTAATTCATTTCCCTCCCCCCATTTTTGGATAAATGAAATATAAATATATTTTTCGGAGGTCAGTACTTAACTGAGTAAAATAAATGCCTATTGTAGTCATACTATCTCAAATTTAGTACTCAATGTAAGAATTAAATGTTAGCAAATGAGATAGCAAATGTTTGAATTAAAGCATGATTTAAAAATGAATTAATTTCCAAATTCAATCCAGGGGCCTTACAAAATTGAAACCTTTTCCCTCAAGCAATTTGCTTATTCCTACAGTGCAAAAAAAAAAAAAAAAAAATCATTATTTTAGAGAAAACAATGAGTAAAAAGCTTAAATGTAGCCAACAACTTCATAATGGTCCATTTAACAGTAAGCACTTTAAGCAACTTGAAGTTAATCTAAGAGAAGTGGCCCAATTTTCAGAAGCAGTAGCATCTTGGTGATTTGAAATTTCATTTTAACAATTTAATAAAACTCAATATCATACTGTTTCACCTAAATGTCTTAACTCTTTTACTAGGTAATACTGATATGGTCATTAGAGTTTTGCTGGATGCAGGATTTACAAATGAACTTGCCCTAAATTACTGGAGTAAGCTGTCTTTGTAAGTATTATTTTCATTGGTTGTGATTTTTYTATGAATTAATAAGTTTAAAAATCAAGTTATTTCTAGTGATTTACTAAAAAAAAGTATATTTACACATAGATATATAATATATACAAAATATTTACAGAGGAGAGATATTAATTCATAGTTACGTACTTAAATGACAACTCTTGACATGGGAACTTGTAAGAATTTCAAATAGTTTTAATTGTAGTTCTTATTTTTATTTATAGTGATGGAGTTGTTGCACAATTTGTTGTTACGGATGGTGGAATTACTAGAGTGTTCCCCAAAAGGTAAGAATCTTTTATAAAACAATAATACGAAGATGAGTTTTGAAACCTCTGACAACTGGAATCACTGGGAATCTCAAAGGCACTTTCACAGAGACTCTTTTAACTTGTCTTTCTGTCATATTCTCCTATACAGTATAGAGAAGTACGTCAGAAAATATGTCACAGGAGTGAGTTACAAAGTTCTCCCCACTGGCTTATCAGACTGGTGTACAAACCCTTATAGTTTACATGCTGATGGATTAAGGGTCAGTTCAGTACTGTATGAATGCAAAGATACACTTGTGCAGAGAAATCTAAGGCATTGCTTCTGCTGTAGCATCAACTGTGAATTCTAGCTAGCTATAGCATTGAGATATATATATATATATATATATATTCTGAGGTGTAGTAAGAACGTGGCAAAGGAAATGTTAATTATATGATTTAATGCTACGTTTTAATGTATAGGATACCCGTTGCTGCTGTTAGTGTTGCCAATGGAGGGTATGGTCTCATGGTGTGGTTAGTGTATACGTACCATACACCGCTTACTTGCATACAAAGCAAGTCATTGCTTCCTCCTTGCAGGAAGAAGGGGTTTGTGTTACCCCCAAGTTGCTCCCAAGCGTGTTCTTGTCTGACAGATTGCCAAGGTCTGAGATTTCCTTTAAACTATGAGGAACAGAACATTGGGTGCAAGGGCTTCCAGAGAGAAGAATGTGGCATTAAAAAGCATGTGGCTCTATCACGGAGTGAAAAGGAGGTTATGAAAGGGTTCATATTATCAGCTAAACACTCCACTTCAATCAATGGGCATCAGTATTGACATATGTATGGCAATATATATGGCAATATGTATGGTAAATGTATCTATGGTATGTGGCAAATGTATGTATTTTCATAGGTTATTCTATATATTTCACCAAAATGAGGGATTCTCAATGGATTTTTCTTCCCAAATAATTTTATTTTTTGTTTTGTTACTATTAATAGTATAAAATCTTTTCACATGCAGATTTCTTAAGAAAATAGTATATGATATAAAGGTTTGCTTTTATTTTCTTTGAAGTAATGTTGCTGTTGTATTTGTTCAGATGTATCTGAAAATGGTGAGATTGGATCCATGTTGTTCCAAGAATATTCTTTTCTTTGTTTTTATTTTCAATAAACTTATTTTATTAATTGGATCTAGTTGCTAAATCAATGAAAGCTGAGTTTTACAAAATGTAACCATCGAAACATCATCTGAAGACTACTAGGACTCAATCTAATATTATATCCATTTGTGAAACATAAATACCTCATGCAGCACAATTTAAATTAGAAGCTATATTTCTTTTTTAATTACACTTTTTTAACTATTTTTGTTTAATTTTTTTAATTACATTTTTTTAATTGTAGGGCAGGAGAAGATTGGTTGGAGAATGCTGAAACTTACGAAGTCAGCTTCTATAAACGGAGCTTAGATAATGACAACTATATTTTCACAGCTCCGTACTACAACAGTAAGTCTTCACTGTTTTGAAATTCTCACAGCTAGTTGGCCCAATGTAAGTGCATTTGTAGGTCACTTCCCTTCCAGTCAAACTCACTGACCGATGTTACAGTTATAAAGTGTGACACTTTGTAAGAAAAATAAATCCTGAACATCACTCAGTATTAAAGAAAAAGTATTTAAAAGGGCATTAAACAAGGGAAACAATATCCATTCTGATGGTCCTATATGCTTAGAATTAGGAAAGCCAAGAGGATACAGATTTTTCAYTTATTATCCTGGACCAATGGTTTCTATAGATGTTGCGACAGAATTATTGTAAAGGAGGGGAAAGAACACTGCATTCAGAGAGACCAACACTATCTAACCTTGGCTTCCAAATTCTATTTTCAATCAGGGTTATTTGCCCAAAACCATTTCTCTGCCCTACTGTGAGATGTAAAACCTATATATGCACAATAATAAGTGTATTAGCAAGAGGAGGCTCATTGGTGATGTGAGCAGTATTTACCATTGCCAAGCTCTCCAAAAGCAGACGCTACCACAAATGACCTAGTCCTCTCTTAAAACATGAGATCTTTTCATGCTGTTATTTTGTATTTATTTATTACTTTAAAAAAAAAAAAAAAAGATAATTGAAAAAACTCCCTGAAGCCCTTGTTCCTCAGAGACCTTCAGGGAATGTTCTTTAAAATTGCTTTTTAATACTAAGTAGTGCTGAAAACAGGCTGAAGTCTGTCAAAGTAGTAATTGTCAGCTAGGGAGTGGTGTCAGTGTGCTCTCTATTGAAAAATACACAGACGCCGGCGTGATAAAATCTCTGGCTCCGATCCCGGTTTTAATAGAGCTGCTCACATGTAAAGTTATTCATGGCTATGTTTACAAAAAAAAAAAAAAAAAAGGCTACACTAAGTGTATAAAGTCGTGAAACTATGTGCGAAAAATGAATGAAGAAAAATAAACATAATTATTCCTCTTGGTCACCCAGATGTTAGTGGTCTGAGCTATTGCAGGTGATAACATGAAACACAATTGCACTAGTGTTTTCAAATAAAGATTTTGGAGATTGATAGCAGGTATTTGAATAATGATTATTTTCACCTTCAGAGAAAGAAGTTTCTATTTCATGCTTATCATGCTATCCTCCTTTTTTATTTTATTTTTTTTCCTCCTTTCTCTCCTCTCAGAAAGCGGTGCCAATAGCTATGAGACAGGGATAATGGTAAGCAAGGCTGTGGAAATAACCATTAATGGGAAACTTCTGAAACCTGCAGGTAAGAGAACAGTGCTGAAAGGCTAAATACAGGAGTTGGGGTTTTTTTTGTACCACAGTGGGGTCAGTTAAAAACTTAATTGAGATTTCAAAGGAGCTTCAGTTTAAACAACGCTGAATTCTCTGAGACTGTTCTATTTTTACTAATGAAAATCCAGACAAATTTCTGACAGAGTTGCAGTAAGAATACTTAATTTATTAGTCTCATGAAGGGTCTTGGTGATCAGGTAACTGAGCAAAACTAATTTTTTTTTCCAGTGTAAGAAGTTAAAATTTTCTCCTTTTCTATTTTTTTTTTTAGGATTCTACAGTTACCTTTTTTTTTTTTTTTTTTGGTTTTAATAAAATTGACTTTTATGTATTTCTTCTCAGTTGTTGGAATAAAAATTGATGCAATCAGATGGATGGAAAATTTCACAAAAACCACAATCAAAAGCCTGGTAAGCAATTGACCAAGTCTTTTTTTGAACTTTATTTGCATTTCTGAAAGCTTCAGATGCAAATAGGTCTAGCAGCTTTCTGTGCCAGAGTYGCACTGCTGTGTAGTTGCCAAGTAGTTGTGGGATTTAAATTATCCCAATGCACAAAAAAAAAAAAATCTATGTTGAAACAGGCTGTATTTTGTATGTCTTGCCTTCATAATTGTAGTAGATGGATAAAGACAAAGAAAAATGACATATTGTAGCCAGCAGGCTCTCTACAACAGTAAATAAAATCTTTAGAAGAATTGGTTTCAAAAAAMTGAAAAAAATAAACCTATTCCTATATAATACTGAGCGTATATAAGCAGTGACTAGTGAGGATTTATATTGCAAGCAATGTTAGAACACTTCAACAGAACTTAATGAAACAGATGCTTACCCCTTTCATTCCTTAAATCTAAAGTTTAGGTGGAAATGAGAAGGAAAAAAAGAAGGGAAAAAAAACTCAAAGGAATATGTAGTAAAGGAGAGACGTGGAGATGATAATGGGACAGCTGGATGGGGCTCTGTTCCTTAGTTTCTCATATACTAATGCAATCGATCCATTTGTGGGGCCAGTGCAGGAATTAGAGCTGGTGAGCCAAGTGCATCAACTGCAGTGTCAGAGCACCTAAGGACAAAACGCACGTCTGAGAAAAAGAGAGTAATGTCTCAGAATGAATTTGGGATGAATGACTGCAGAACTATCTGGTAGTTGTTCAGCTTAGGACGTAATGCAAGGAAATAGTCAATGAGTCTATGTGTATTGTGAATATGTATTGCAAGAAAAAGAAATGTTAGTGAACAGAACCACAGAAGCAACCAGAAGGTGGGGAACTTCTTAATCTTATCAGATTTGCATGCTTTAAGATTTGTGAAACTTGCTGATCTCTTTCTGGTAAAAAAAAAAAAAAAAAAAAAAAAAAAGTGTGGCCATGTGTTTTCTAGGTTTTCTAGTATTCTCTTAACCATCCCAAAGCAGGCAAATGGACATGTTCTTTTGCTTCCATTTTATATTCACATTGGTAACTTCCTGACAAATCTCCCAAACTGTAATACATTAAAATCTGTTTGTCTCTCATATAACAAGCATTGTCAAAAAGCAAAACGTAGCAATGACTTGGTGAAAGCCACTAGGGATTGTGCTGTTGGTTATTACTGAAGGCTGTTCACACAGATGCTTCACAATAAATCACATACACACACAAGCCTTCCTGCTCGCACAATCTCTCTAAGGTAGATTAAGACATAGAACATAGATATTGAAAATCAGATCACTTGGTCTTGTCTTGATCAATAAACATCACTGAGAAATGCGGTTTTGTTTGATTCTTTTTTTGTTTGAAAATGTCTGTRCTTGTGTTTTTTAGTGCAACAGTGAAATCTGTGGCTGTGAAAGAAACAGTATGGTAAGAGTATGTTTAATTTATAAATACCTAGCAGATAATGAAGAAATACTCGTACTCTGTGTAGACCTACCTAAGATCACTCTTCTATCATGATATTTTCTGAAATTTATAATCAGAAATTAGTTTATGAAAAAAATGGTTTTCATTTTTGTGTTAAGGAAAATGAAGATTAGGAGGGGAGGGAATAAAAGAGGGAACAAAGGTCAGATAGCATGGCTATTGCAGAAGTTATTGCTGTAATGTTATGAAAGCTACAGAGAAGCAAAAACAATCTGAAGTATAGGAGCAATAAAAATGATGTGAATAAAAAAAAAAGTGAAAAAATAATAGTAATTTTCAAAGCAAGAGATGAATCTCAGGGAAAGGGAATGATTAAAAACAAGAAAAAAAAAAAAGGAAAGCAATAAAAAAAAAACTAAAATAAGAAAACATAATTGCAAACTAAAAAGCACCAGAGTACCTGTTGTACCCTTCAACAGTCATTAGTCATCTTCCTTTCTCCTGTTTCCGAATGGTTCAGTATTTGGGATCCCGTAAGTCTGCTAGCACTCAGGAGAGCTATCACAGTATCAGATTCAGCCATGTGCTTAAAAGCTTTCCCTGCTCAGGTCTTGGGGTTTTTTTTTTTTTTTTTTGATTAATGGAGGTTGAATGAAGAATGAGTGTAAAATGCAGGAGTTACAGCAAGAAGAGCATTGGGGGAGAGGTCTGCCTGGCCTCACCAGTGCTCCTATGGTGTCTTTGCCTACGAGGATGTTCTCCACATGCAAAGTGTAAGCGGCCAGTGGTCTTCCCACACAGAACATCCAGCAGAACCCCACTGCTGACCWGGGCAAGAAATGTGAAAATAATAATGACTATTAGGTAGGGAATCTTCATTTAGAACTTCTGCCATTAAAAGCTGCAAATGGAAAAGTCTTTAAGCATGGCTGAAAGCACACCAGAAGTTGTGCTCCTTTATTCTGAGTTAAGACTCAAATATTGTGAGGTTTAATAAGGCACTCTTAGAGCTAACAAAGACTTTACAAAACAGCTTTTATGAAATTAAGCCACAATGACGCCTTTGATCTGTACAAACATTTGTAAAACTGATAATGCTACTTCTTACGACTTAATGTTGGCCCTTAGCAATTTAGCCTGAGTCACATAGATCTGAAGATACTTCAGAAGGGTTGAATAAACAAGAGTTTCTCACAGATCATGTTGTCTTTTCGAATCCCTTCTGAAAAACATGTTTTTACTTTTTTATGATAGCATGTGGACTGTGTTATCCTTGATGATGGTGGGTTTCTTTTGATGTCAAATCGAGATGAGTATACCCCACAGGTATGTACATTTTTAAGTATGGTAAGACGTGTACCACAAAAGGGAGTTGTTTTACAAAACAAAACAAAATTCAGCATATCACTCTCAGCTTGTCCTACGAATAGATTTTGCGTTTATATATATTGTGCTCTCCAGAATTTGGAAAAGTGGGTCAGAAGTTGGAAAAAAATGTCTGAATTGTTAAAAAAAAAAAATTATCTATATGGATAATCACATGCTGAAGCCTGGTCCTCAGCTTTGTTGCAGGGCAGATTTAACTGGTTTGATCAGTTATCATGTAATTTGGATGTTAAACATTCTCTCCCAGCTAATGGGAGAGAAATGATGAGACAGAAACACGTATACAGACAGCACAACTAAATAAGTTTCCTTAGAAAAAGAATTAGTGAAAAAAAAATCAAAGTTGTTAACTTTTTTTTTTATTTTGTAAACATATAAGAGGGGTATCCTGAAGTGCTCTAACTTATTTCCTTGTACTTTCCCRCACCAGATTGGAAGATTTTTTGGTGAAATTGACCCTGGCCTCATGCGAAACCTGATTAACATGTCCTTATATGCCTTCAACAAGTCTTATGACTATCAGTCTGTCTGTGATCCAGAAGAAGAACCGAAACAAGGAGCTGGACTTCGTTCTGCTTACGTGGTCAGTAGGCCCTTATGAGGTTAGTGACATTGCCTGCAAAGTGTGCAGGTGTCYATGCCAATAACACAATCTTTGTTCTTTTTTTCCCAGCCTACAATAACAGATATTTTGCATTTAGGATGGTGGGCTTCGGCAGCTGCCTGGTAAGTGTTTATGAACACTGTATATCAAAACTATAATTATTCAGTGGTAATAGGCTGGGTTAATCTCTCTCTCTTTTTTTTTTTTTTTTCTTTTTTTTTAACATTTAATTGTTAAGTCCTCGAACTCCCTTGAAAATTCAATATTTAGTCTACAATTAAATCTTACACTGTTCTTGTCAGTCAGAGCCATGTCAGTATGCTCTGACATTTGAGGAAGTAAGTTGGGTGATAGATTTGTCCAAGTYTGATTGACTGATGTGAAAGCTCAGATGAAATTTTACTATTCAGAATAACTTGTTCACTATTTCAGAATAATTTATTTCCCTTCTACTAAGAAGTCTTAAGAAAATCAATGTTTGTGCCTTAGTGAATATCATTTTATCTAATTTGACCTGAATACAGACCATGGCAAAGCATAAAGAAGTCTAGTTCAGAATGCAAGATAACCTATACTTTGGTTTTACATATAATTAAGAGTTCCMATGTAAATTATTAGCTGTTATTTTTGAAGACATAATATGTTGCCTTATATACTGTAGCTTCTTTAAAATATCCCAATAGCACTTTTCACATTTAGTTTCAAGTTTCACCTTATTCTTTATTCAAAAAAACAAATATAAAAAGGCACTTYGTACAATGCTCCAGTAATATGTCCTAGTGCTCTCTACCAGTATTAAGCTTGCCTTTCACAATATTTGGTGCATCTTAACGCTAAAGATCCATTTAGAAACTTTTCTTTTGACTTGGCTTCTTAGCCACAGAAATAACTTGCCTGTTTTGGAGCCATGTAGATCAATTACTTACCTCAACCCCAAGTGGGGTTATCACTCACTGAGAAGGGGGTGATACTTGTGCAGTTCTGTGAATTGCGCCCTTGGAGGCTGTCTTATTGTGTTTATTTTTGTAATAATTACCAAGCTGGAATAAATTACCTATTTCCTAGATTTAAGATTAAAATTATAGCAGCTGAACAAATATTTAATGGTTATCTTGTAGATAGCACTATRAGGACTGTATGTTGTTTTTATTGATGGTTACATATTGTTAACAGCAACTAAGATTAAAAAAAAAAAAAAATTAAAAAAAAAGAAAAAAACAGAAAAACCTGAAGATGGGCACTAATCCAGAAGAGAAACTTGAGCTCGTCTCAAGCAGAGAAACGTTAGTTTATCAATGTTCAAGTCAGATGCAATGGTCTGGACTCAATTTAGGCATGAGGTTTGCTCTGCGTGATGTTTAACTTGAAAGTACCACATAAAAGTATTTCTGTGGATGTTTCTAATGGAGTCTAGGTCAGAAGCAGGCAGAGAAGGCCATTAAGTAGAGTGAACAGGACTCACCAGAAATGGCTTCGATGGGGCACCTGGCAAAAGCAAATGGAAAGAAATAAGAGAAAACATCTTAAAGAAGACTATAGTGTTTCAGGCCACAGTATAGAATTAAAGAGTGAGTGATAATTTGCAAAGTTTATGTGGGATACAGCAGTATTTGTTTAAAAGAGTACATAGCATTTTTCCTTTGTGCTCTTTCAACTCGGAAGAAGTGACACCGATCTCCCAGGCTGCCTTTTTGCTTGTGCTCTGGGMATGCCATGGTAAAGCCTGCAGTAGGGCTGGAGAAAGATTACATCCTCTCTCAGCACGTGGAATTGCTTTTCATTGCCTTTACGTCTCTTCTCGAGACTGGCCTGCTCTCTGTCTGATGATGCAAGGCTGTGGGAATGACTCCAGAGCTCATTCCAGCTATAGCTCAGCTGGGAAGATGACAGATGTATCCAACTTCTCTAGACATATACTAGCCTAGGTTAGGAGAAAAGTAAATAAACCTGAAAGTTGAATAAAGCCATATGCTTCCCTCCACCTGAGGTACATATATTGGTCTTGAATGTAATGGGAAGAAGATAGGTCATTTCTCAAGCCAGCAGCGAATCCTAAAACATGAAGACAAGAAGTTAAAAGTTAAGAAAGTTTTAAGCAGAAGTAGTGATTCAAAAAAACTAGCTAGCCGCTCCTTTTTTGACAGGTTGGTAGGGTAAAAGGGAGCTGCACATTGGCCAAGCCAGTACTTTCTTTGCATAAGTAAAATAGGAAAAACATGATCATGAATGAAGAAAAATAACTTGACATAAATGATGGCTCATAAGTGTAAATGTTTTGGCAGTACTTAGAAAGAAAATTTGGTGTGTACCTTAAGAACAAGAATAGAGATGATTTTAAAAGTCACAAGTGCAGTGCTAACCTTTATAACATACTTGTGATRTGAATATTCATCTCCTTCACAGCAATTTAATGAGCCATAAGCAGTATGAAGTATCTAACTCAGGACATTTTCTTTGAGGGCCAGTAAAATACATAGTATACAAAGATGGTTTAACAAATGTATTGTTTTTCTGTGTTCAGGTCTCTCTTACAGCAGCTGTTTTTGAGCCTGACTTTTCCACGTTTTCTTGAGGCAGGTAAGTCAAGAGAATGTTAAAGAGTCAACTTTGAGTCAAGTAGAAGGTAAGAAACTAGATGGGGGCCATTTTGGGTCTTCCCATTGAAGCTGTAACTCTAAAACACTTTTMTTGTTTATTTATTTAACTTCTTTCTCTCAGCTGATATGGAAGAAGATGATTTCGGTGCTGCCCTGCCCAAAACAAGCTGCATCACTGAGCAAACTCAGTATTTCTTTGAAAACGATGATAAATCTTTTATTGGCATTGTAGACTGTATAAACTGCTCCAGGTAAAGTATATTCAATATAAGTAATAGTTTGTGGACATTCATTTATTTCAGAAGAGCTAATCTCACTATACAAAGAACAAAAAAATACATTTTTATCAATTATATCAAATTTACATAAATAAGATAGTGTATAGAGTAAGTACCAAGGGAGTAAAAGGGTAAACTGCATTTCTCATTTACATTTGTGTTAGAAAAAAATCTGAATTTCTATTTGTATTAGAATAAATCTGAATGGTAACTGGTGATTCTTATGAATCTAATTATGTACTGAAAGTTTGTAATTGTATCAATTAAACTTCATATTCACCTGTCTATATAAAAGGAATTGCTCATCGCTTTCTGTGTTTATAAAAATGTACTTAGAATCTATTAAATGCAGTTAATCTGTTAAGGTGTCCCAAGTTTAACTTTCTTTATCAGTTAAAGCAGTTATCAGTTAATAGCTAAAAAATGTCACGATTATTTTTCTGCTCCCCGGAAAGTCTGTTTACCTCCTCTGGAGAGGCAGTAGTAGTTTAAAKAGCACATGAAACTCAGTTCTTGAAAATCCAGAAATAGTATTACCCTTAGTATCTAACTGATAACTCATGAAGTGTGGTATCTATAGCTTAAAAATATAATGCTGCAGATACAACTAGTTGCAAATTGAAAACAACCTTACTAAACAACCTTTACTAAAATGGATTTTGTTCAATAATATGTAAACAAACATGCAACATATATATATATACTATGTTCAGTATACATGCCCTAAAACATCTCCCTTCTTACAGATTTTTTTCCTGACGTTATTACAGTGTTTCTTAACAGTGTTCTTACAGGAAGAATCGATGCTGAACTGACTTTATTTCGCAGTTCAGTCATTTGAAGTCATTCTATGTTCTTTTCCATTCTATTTTCCTCTAATAAATCTAGTCAAAAGAGAGAGCAATGCAAATGTCAAAATAATTATAACATTTTTTATAAATGTTTCTAACTGATCATTAATAACAAAAAAAAACCCCAAAAACAATAGCTGGCAGATTGAATCTGAAACTAGGTGACTTTTTACTCCAAGAACACATGTCCTTCCCAAGTACAAGTTTCCTTGTTTTATTCAAGCATATCTTTTGTTGGCTTTCTTCCAGACTTTTTCATGCAGAGAAGATTTCAAACACCAATCTAGTATTCATTATTAGTGACAGCCAACTGCTGTGCCGCTCCTGTGACCCAAAGCCACTGATGCAAGCAGAGAAGCCGGGTATCCTTTAAGAGCAGATTATTTGGTGGTGTGGACTGATGCTTGGCTATGGCGTGCTGGAATATATTTGGGAAAAAAAGTAAGGCCCTTCTATGTATATATTAGCATTGTACATGTCATTGGAGTGCCTGACGCAACAGGTATTTGTAGATGGTGGCCAACTAGCGGTCACTACGTTAGAGAGCAAGACTGCTGATTGCCTACACAGTAACGTAATGAAGTTTCCAAAAGGCCAGGGAACTGGTTCACCCCCTCTCTTCTGCACTAGGAAGGTGTGTGTGTCTAGAGAAACAACAAAAGGGACAACTCCAAGAGAAGAGTGTTTGGTCATGAGAGGTTGAGAGTGCTGCACTCTTGCCTGCATGCCAATTTATGCCACTACCCTGTTCTATCCASTAGCGTATCTGGAGGATGGTGATGGAAGCAGAATAAAACAAACATAAACACCTTTAGGCAGGGAGAAATTCACTTCAGTTCATCTATGGCTTCTGTGTATTCTTGAGGGCATCATGGAAGAGACAGGAAATTGAATCATCATTTGGATTGTTATAACAAAATAATATATCCTATAATCAGGAATATAATTGGCTATGTCAGGAAGTTGAGGCAGCTCCCTGAAAGTAAAGCAGGAGATGGGAGAGAAAACAGTATCTCTTGGGCAGAAGCAATCCATTTGTTGTCACATTAATACAACTGGAAATCCTTCCACGTTGTGCTAAGGAGGCTACGATGAGGTGGAAGCAGCAGCCCTGTCATTGCAGAGCTGTGAAAACACAACTCATATTCTAACTGGATTTAGTCCGTGACAGTTTGATTAACTTGCCACTGTCTAGATTTATGGAAAGACTTCCCACAGAAAATGAAAATGGGAAATAGAAACATAACTGGTGTTTCCCAGCGGGGCCTTAACCTTCCAAAGAGCAGTAAATGTCCTCAGAGTGATTGGGTGGGCTTATATTGACTAAATTAACTATTTTACTTTTTAATTTCAGCTACACAGTTTCAAGCTAGTCTCCGTTTTCTGTAGCCAAGAGATGTAGTGAAATGCAGATGTAACATAACATCACACCAAGAGGCAGAGCGACCTTTGGGTGCTATTTGGATAGTTATTAGGCTCTGTTTTCCTGGCTGTATACATGACTTTTTGGAGTATTTCTACATTTGGACTTGCCTTTTGTCTGGGCCCACACAGAGGAAAATTGAGATGAGTCTGATAAACTATGAATGAATACAGAAATAGCTCATTGAACTGTAAAACTAAATTCCCTGCCATCTTGGCTTCTTCCCCATTGGGTAATTCTATTCACTGCAATAAATTTGCTGTAATATCCCACCATTACTGTACAAATGGGATTGATCTGAGTATAAGTTAGAGCTATTAAGATAGTAAGTAGAGTTTTAAAGTGTTCAGTGGTTTCAAAAAACTCAAACCTGGATTTAATGTTTGTACCACTGACAGTAGAATTGATATAAAGCTTAACATGCAGTTCATAAGTAGGTTTGCCAGAAGATTGCTTTAGAGAGTTTACCAAGTAAGTGCTTTACAGGTGAGCTGCAACAGCTCATGTGCCTTGATAGCACATGGCATATATGTATTTATGTTTAGATAACAGCAATTGCGGATCTCAGAGACCTGAGTTAATGTATTACCTCATGTGTTTGCAGCTAGTTAATAGCATGTGCAGTGAGGTGCACTGCTCCCATTTCCCAGTCTTCAGTGCATACCATTACTTGACTTTCTGGCTTTTGGCTTTCTGGCAGTTGGCTTTCTGTCTTTTACTTCATTTTACCAGAATAACAAACCAGAATAACAAACAGTATGACTCACTCAGCCCAAGGAAATATGATAGCAGACTTACTATTTCATCAAATATTTCTGTGATGTTTATAAAATATTAGGGAAAGTAATATAAAATCTTTAAAAATAGCTTTATTTTTATTTTGCTTCTGATAGAATTGAATTTGCAAGATATGCTGAGTCTTTCTTAATTTTATTTATAAAAGCAGCAGCAGCAGATAAAGAGTATTTAATTTCTATTAATCTGGTGGTTTTGTTTGACTTGATTTTATTTTATTTAGACAGGAAACAAAAACTCTGAATGTTTATTTCAATGCTACCTGAATTATCATAGAGCTTCTCTCTTCCCACAAAGATAAAAGCAGACTGTTAATCCTGGTAATGTATGATGCAACAAAAAAAGAGTTATGCTCCTTAACTAGAGAAACAGATGAAGGGCCAAATCCTTGTGAAATGGTTAAGCAGCCTAGATACCGAAAGGGGCCTGATGTCTGTTTTGATGAAGCCAAACAGGTAAAATTCAGCTTGTAAGACTTTCAGACTACCTTTTAAAACAGTTACAGAAGTGATATAGAAGAGCAGTGAAGTATGTGTTTAAAAGTACCTTGATACCTGATAACCTAYCTGTCACTGAACATTCACTCTAGACCATAGTCACTCTATTTCAAATATCGCATGATTAACATAAAATTTACAGCCGCTTTCTTATCTGCCTTTCCTATAACCAGTGCACTTTCACACATGATGCCCAGTGAAAAAATACCAGCAAAGGTAGAGCTGATGATGTGCACAGAGTGCTGTCAAGATCAAGTCTTCTTTTGCATTGGCAAACAAATATATTATAATTGTAGCTTAGAAATAGAATCCTTTTATTAGTGGTTCTAAATATCACTCGTGTTCCATGGTATCTGACTGAGAAAGTTGTTTTCTCTTTGAAATGCTTGAAATGTGTAATGATACTAGGCCTTATTCTTAACAGGTATAAAATTCTATTTCTTTTCTGAATTATCTGGCTTTAGCCTTCCTTCCTTGTTTTGTATACATTGCTACAGTTTTAGAGGAGAAAAAAAAGGTAACTTTGACAGATTTGACGCAATTTATTTTGAATCTACTGTCTCGCTCAAAATGCTGTTGAATTGAAGCTGTTCACAACAAATACAAATTTCAAGAAAGAGCATTCTAAACAGGGAAATACCTTCAGTAATATAAAATAAATGATTAAATAAATTATTTACAAATGCATTTGTAATGACTGGTCCCATTTCTGCAAAGRAAAGATTGTTCACAAATGTTAGTGAACTTGGCTGAGATTGCRTGACTACAACTGCTGTATACTAGATTTTGATGCAGTATATTCTCTTCTTTAATAAGGCTATTATAATGATTGACATGGCTGTTGTCTTTAAAAACTTCTAAACAGTTGGTGTTTTGTTTTTTTTCTTTTCTGTAGTTGCTGTTTTTAAATAGCAAAGATTAAAGAAAGTGGAAAAACTACACTAAAGCTATTTGGCCAGTGTAAATATTCCAAATCTTTCAGACATCAGACACATTATTGTCTGATATTATTGTGTGTGAAAGTGCAATCCTTGCTCACTAGCTTGATGTGCTGATCAGTGTGTAAGCCATGTGTTTCGTAAGAGTGGACTGTTTTGGTTAAGTTTATTTGCAATATTCGCTGTGAATCTCTTGCTCTTGGGTGAATGCTTTCACATTAACTCTGCTAACTGCCGGCAAACTGCATGATATCTCATCTTGTATGTCTTTTTTTCTGTGTTTTCTTTCCTTTCCTCTACTTGCTACTTTGCCCGTTATTAATAGGATCAGCCTATATGCACAACGAGTCGTGCCTCTGCCATGACGTCCGCTCCTATCTTCATTTTTCTGCAAGTTTTCATGTGGTGTGGATGGTCAGTTACTTTCTCTAATTTTGTGTTTTGTTCTTGGCTTAAAACTTTAGCAGACTTTTTTACTAACTAAGCATACAAAAGAAAACACAATCAAACATGTCCCAAATGGAACAATCTGGAGCAAATCACTATTGTAATATTAAGAGAAATTAAATATGAAAAAAGCATGTCTTTAGCCTTATAAATATGAGCTACAGAATATGAGGGCCTCTYTGATAGCAAGAACCTGCAGAGTTTCTGGGGCTGGCACCTCCCGATCGTACTTGTGCAAAGTGAGTCTTTGCCTTTCCCTTTGTGACTTTAAAACACCTTTCCCTTGTCAACCCTTGTCCTTGTTAAAAAGAAAAGGAAGAAGAAGAAAGTTTTTTGCATAGGAGCAGGCAAAGTTAAAAAGCAATGGGAAGAGAGTGTAATACCTGGGAAAATAAAGCTCTACTTGGGGAGAGCAGAGAGCAGAGCAGAGCGACTCTTTAAGAACAGCCAAAGCATAGCTATAGAGGAGAGTTAGGAATTTTGTAGGCATTCAATTTAGTGCAAATGTTAATGGTAAAAAGTAACAGTGTGCATTGATTAGGTTGTTAAACTATGAATTAAGAAAATTCTGAGGATTTCTTTCTAATTTATTGAGACCAAAACATATTCAACTACAAGAGATTTTTTTTTCTTTTAATGAAATACATAAATAAATACATATGTCAAACCTGAAATTYGGCTAGTGAAAAAAGCCAGGGGTTCCTAAAAAGAAATATTAAAAAATCCTTGATACCTGGATATTTTTTTCTGTGTTATGTTTAATAGTTTGGGAACTTGAACTACTGTGATAGTGACATATATGCAAAACAATTGCAATCTAGTGAGAATGGCAGGGTCAGAAAAAAGACTTTTTTTGACCTTTTCTGCTGGGTGGGTGTCTAATCAATATAACTACTCAGAAAACCACTAGAGGGAGGTACTAACATATCTATTATCTTAAGGCTGACGATGAGAAGCACAAATGGAACCCTGTGAGTCCTCAGAGTTAGTGTAGTAGAATAGTAAAAATCATAACAAATTTTATCTTCATTATCTTTAAATTTTGGAGAAGATTCAATTATTTTTACATGAATACCAATAAAAATAATATTACCAATAAAAATATAGTTATTGCTGTGTAATAGCAATAACTGAATAAGTTTCATTTTCTRTGTTGTCATCTATTTTCTAGCAAGTCTTGCACAGATGTAGATCAAGGTTGTAAGAAAGGGTGAAAATTCCTTCCCCAAACCAGTAAAATTTGACATTCAAATCTAAAAGATTAACATCTGATACTCTTACTTTGGCAGTTTACTCTGTAAGTAGCCTTCTTTTAATTAAAAGTTATGTAAAAATGTACATAAAGCAGCAGACATTCACCTTGAACTTAGTGCCCATAATAGCTTTTCTGCTTGAGGATGTAAACCAGAATACTTAACAGGTGGAAAGCCATGAAACATAATTTTAGTTGATAGACTTTTGGCAGCAGAAAGWTATACAGATAATTCTGTTCATCCATGCTGTTTTTAATAACCTTGAGATTTTGGTACAAGGATTTCACTGGACATTAATCCATGTAGTTTTATTAAAGTCACTGAAGCCAACACAAAACCAGAAGATCAGGTTCGATAACCATGGCTTTTTCTTTTCATCAAGCATAGCAATACAGTCTTACCGACTGCTAGAACATTTTTTTTTCCAGCTTTGTATCCACACACTGTTCTTGTTTGCTATATCTTACAGTAAAGGGAGGAAGTTTTCCTACCCTTCTGGAATGTTTTTCTTCCCTCACCTCTCAGTGATGTCAGTGGGAACTTTGAAGGTACTTAGTACCGTGGATGACCGTGCACATCTGAGTATCTCCAGTCTATCTGCATAGATTTGGATACCTGTATAGCTTTGACTGTGTTGTATGGTCCAGATGATGGAAAGAACATTTATGAATAGAACATTTATGAAGGGCCATGCATGGAAATTTAAATACCTCTTGAATATGAAAAAAAGTATTTTCTCTGCAGTGTAAAATGGTTATAGTGTGCACTTAGTAAAGCTATATCAGCTGATAACAAAGCTCAGATTAAAGGCTTTTTGGCACAGAGATCTTTGTTTTATCCTTTTATAAACAGTGTAGCAAATGTACTCTATATGATTCAGGTTTCAAGACACAATTTACATAGTTGTAGATTATATCCTAAGGGGTAACAAGTATGTGTATACACCTAAGCATGTATGTGTATATGTATGTATAGATACTTATGTGTGCATGTGTGTATCCAAAATTATTTACTGGTAAAGTCTTCCAGTAAACTTTGATAATTAACAATGAATGTGTGGTTTTGACTCTTGGCAATGAATGCTTCATTTTTAAAAAAAAAAAACATTGATTTCTCTCCTGGAAGTGCTGAATTATTTTCACAGTATGTGATTTTGTAAAATAATTCTCTCTAGATTTGTCATAGTAAGACATAACTTGAAAGAGATGACCCTGGGATTTGACTCTCCTCCATTTCCAATATCCAAGGAAATTTTACATGTAACTTGCTAATGCAAGAAATTTCTAATATGGTACTGATAAAAAGAAACTGTTCATTTCCAATGAATAGAAGTCATATGCTGAATATTATATAGAGGATAACAAAAAATGCACCCCAAATAAAGGATTTCGGAGTGCATGACRTAGCAGCTAAGGTTAGAGGGTTCAGTGGAAGTAGTTGTTGTCTAATTGCACTGACAGACATGAATATGACAGTGAARATTGTACTGTCCAATTTGTTACGAGAAATTTTATGAGACTAGAGTTAACATTTACAGGAAACTGCTTATAAACTTTCTTAAAGCTGAAGAACTGGCAAGTGTTTTCAAAGACATCCTAAAGACCAATTGAAGTTAAGGTTTCACTGCATTTGATTCTGTTCTTATCCAAAACGGTGATGTGATTTCACACATTTCTGTAAAATGGATGGGTTTTCTGAACCTAGGTAAATTAGTGTGTAATCAGTCTTTCTCTTTCTTCGCTGTCTCCCTCCACTTTTAATTAATTTATTTTTTTTAGTGTACGTATGATTCTCACCACAGCTAAAGCGTGCAAGAATGTTGAGAATTACAATGCATGCTGCTGAGGTGGGAGGAGGAATAAATTTAGACAGGATTCAGTGTACCTTCCTTGCCACTACTATTTTTGTCTTGGATTGGGAAATATACACACACAAAATAGACCATTTAAAATTTGATGCAAAAGCCTCAGAAGTTCAGTGTAACTTACATCGATTTGAGGTTAAACCCTTACTAATCTTAATATATGTCTGTAAACCATAGGTAATTTTGACTAGAATGGCTTAACTTTGTCATTCATYATGAGGAGGTACCTCTGCTATGTGAAATTTCCAAGACATTCTCTTTCGTTATAAAGCAGTGAATCATTTTACAAACTTAATAATAAGGATGAGAGATATTAAAATCTTTTCAATCCAACAGGCCTACTAACCATACTATAGCAGTTAAAAAATGTGCACCTCAGACATGAAATAGTTCTTAAAAAAATAGTGGAAATTGGAAACCACCCTCCTCCCCACTCACCCAAAGTATATGTATTTTGGAAGAGTTAATTTATCAGTATAATTTACACAGTATTTGATCTAACGCAGTGATGACATGAAAGCTGAATGCTATATAAGAGATGGAGATMCATGTAGGCCATCTGAATCCAAACTAGATGTTTTCACTGTGGTATTATTTTCCCCTTCCTATTATGCACAGATTTGTCTTAAGACTATCAACTTTCTTCTTACTTGCTCTCCAGACATTTTCTCTTCTGGAAAATACTAAATTGCATGTTTATATCTAGTCTAGCCTGTTTCTTTCAGGACGACTCTGTTGTGTAATTTGAGTGATAAGAGTCTTAAGTTACCAAGAGCAAGCACTAAGCACTATTCACTTAATTGGAGTGAGAAGAAATCTGTACCAATAATCCTTTTGCTAGTGGCATTCAACTGTGTGGAAGAAGCAACAGGGTTATTTTCAGGTGTTGAGAATAGCAGTAAAGCTACATGACAAGACACAATGCAGATGCAAAGAAGCAATGGAGCCAAACTAAACAAAACAAAGTTCAGTGCATCTTCAAATCTAATATCTTACTCCAAATTTGGTGCAGGAAAGTTCAGTTATGACTTCTTTGCTGACTAGAAACCTTATGATTTTTGAACTTGAGGAGCGCAATCAGCTAAAAAAGCCTGAGTCAAAATTATAGAAGTAAATAATGATATCAGAGACATATCTGGAAAATTGGTACTATTGATGCAGAACGCTAACTTGAGCCATTTACTTTAAAACTAAACTAGATTATTTATTTTTAGAGAGAGAACTTGCATAATTTTATACATCCAAGTTTCTTCAGACTGTTGTTGAATGCTATAATTCCTTGCTGAATTTAATTTGCCTGCGTGCTCTAATATCCTGCATATTTACTTCAAGCTGGCTCTGACCTATGTGCTTGGAAACACATAGGAAAGATGTGTCAGGTGTAGTGGAACTCACACAGAAGTGATCCTCCTGAAAGAGTGGATCAAAGACATAACCTAAATCTTCTTCTACTCTTATAATTCCCAAGATCACTTTTTGTACCTCTGTCATCCAGCAGTTACACTACTTCCCTGACTTCCTGTTTTTGATTTATTCAGAAAGTGTTTACCATCATTTTGCTCCCTTTGCAGGGAGGTTATCAAATTCTTAATCATCCCTCTTAATTTCCTGTTTATATTTAATATTGCATTTTTATGGGCTTTTCTGCTGTCCTTATTTCACTAAATTTTTCATTTCTTAATTGCTGGCCTGATGATAGCCTACTTAATCACCCTACTGACTGATGTGGAGTTTTTCGTTTCGTTGGAATTATGGCATTCCTTTTACCTGGGCTTCCAAGGCAGTACAACCCTTAGGATTCTATGGGGAACTTGTTTTTTCAGGCTACTTCTTTCAGATTTTTTTCCTGTTCTCTGTTTTTTCGTTTTGCTTGCTGTTTTTGCTGTTTTTGTTTTTGTTTTGCTTTTTCATTTTGATTGGGAGGGGTCAGCAGTAAAATATTGGGATTACATATTTATTATAGGAGCCTGATTTTTTTTCCCTCAGAGATTCCTTTTCTTTCCTTTTCCCCTAATATTTTATAATATTAAGGGAATTTAAAAATAATAAATATTTTTAATATGTGCTCTGCCACTCTCTCACTATATGTCTTACACTATTGTTCTCATAAAGTTGGTACCTTGACAGTACTATCTTATTTTTTTTCACCTTCTACCAAGTCTCTGAGATGTTTGTTTTACTGGGTTGATCATTTCATGACTAGTGTCTTAATTTCCCTTTTTTATTTTCATGTCCCTACATGTAAACGCACTGGGAACTTTTGTTTAAGAATGTGCCAGTAACCTGGTGATGTCCTAAAGGAGCCTTCCTTATTTATTCTGATTCATGATGCAAAAGACACTGCATTTTAGCAAGATATGGCCCAATAACAGTAGCTAATGTAAAGAAGAATGGGAGAAAAGGCTCATCTAAGCAATTTGATTCCTTGGTGGTACGATGAATAGTTAGGTTCTCACACTGGAGTGCAGCATCAGAGACAGAGAAGGAATTTCCTTCTTTTTGATCATATCTGTGTCTGTAAAATGTATTCTTTTTAATGTGTGACCATGTTAATGTAATGGGTATGAATATAGTCTTGCATTTGTTTTCTTATCCTGAAAAGTTATCTGTTCTTCCCTCTTTCCTTGCAAGTAAGTGATATTCAAAATCCCAAAGTTGATGTAATGCTAAGGCATAAATGTGGTTGTACAGGCCCTCCCAGGCATATTTTTTGTTATTTCCTGTTTGATTGTGTAAGCATCCTGTCTAGTTCACAAGTGACTGCAGTAATTCTGTAAGTACTTGTAGTTTTTATAGTAATGCCACTCTTTGTATCAAACATTGGACAAGCTTCCAAGAACTATTTTGATGTTATTTTAGGTATATAAGCTAAAAATAATGTATTTAACACCAAAATAGTCTCCTCAAGGATAGTTCAAAAAATTTTAAGTCAAAATATAGATTAATTCTCAGGAAATACATTTGTAATTATTGTTAAATTATTTCTTCTTTTCTTGTCAACAGGAAGATTCAGCCGACTGCGGTGGTGTTTCTGGTCTGAGTCCATCACTGTGGTCGATGGTAGGAATTCAGTTGGTCCTGCTTTGGCTGTTATCTGGCAGCAGACACTGCCAGTTATGACCTTGTTAAACCAAAACCTGCATAACTTAATGAAGTCCGGCCAAAACAATAGCCTCAATTTCATTTTAAAAGGGTCAGCTATTCAGACAGCAGAAGAACAGCAATGCTCATGTCTGCTTTTCACTCCTTGCGAGWCTCATAAAGGCACCCACAGTGGCTGCATGTTGGAGTGTCAGATCCTTAAATTTGTGTGAATGCTGCATCATCTATGCCATCTGAATGGAATTCTGTATGTGTTTCATTGGGGAATCTCAGATTTTTGTTTGTTGGTGTAATATTAATGACTTCATGTAAAAGGGCTCCCCTTAAAATAGCTTATATATATATATATGATTTTCATTTATTTTAACCTTTGGATTTTCTTGAAGATCTTATATTCTTTTACATGAACATTTGTTATAAATATATATATATTAAAAAAAAAAAAAAAAGAAAAAAAAAAGGAAAAAAAGTACTGGCCCAATATACTTTCCAATACTACGATGGCTGCTTTGAACGTCAGTTTTGTCCAAACCAGGGAAGTGAAATGAAAATACTGGCTRGTCTCCATCAGAAGTTCATCAGCATTGACATGCTTTAGGATAAGTGGTTTCCAAATAGATATCCAAAGATATCCAATGGATATCCAAGATATCCAAAATTAAAGGTGGCCAGCTGAGTTTTGGTATGTTGGTAAATTGATGGATTGAAGAAAAGAAAAAAAAAAAAAAAGAGAAACTACTGTATTTAGAAATATAAGGGTGCTTGAGAGCTTAACTTAAAAAAAGATTTTATTCTTGAACTTTGTCATCTATCAGAAAAATGTTGATTTCAATGTAATAATCACCTTCTCTTCACAATGCAGTTATATATAATGCTAGTGAAATCCTTCAAATGCTCAGAAAAAAAATGCTTGTGAATAAAAAAAAAATGTCTTTGTGATTATTGAGCGTTGGTTTCCAAGGGTATTTTGCATGATGATGATGCTGCGTTATTGTTTTTCAGTTTGTTTTCTTTGATGGTAGAGTATAGTCCATTGAAAAGGTAACTGAGTGATTCTTTTGTTGTGTGAGAAACTGATCACTGCAATGTTTTACAATCAAATCATATTAAATTATATTATTAAACAGAGCTCTGAATATACTGTGCAATGAAAAAGCTAAGAAAATAAGGTAAATTTAGCTACTGTAGCAAAAGGGTTGATGTGGATTTTTTACAGAATAGCACTCTCACATGAAAACCTGTGTACAGATATTTTCAATATATAAAAATCAGATTTGACACATTTATTTTTGAATTTATATGTTCTGTAAGGTTCATATCGGGTTCCCCCTTTGCTTCTTTTATTTAAAGATATCTGTGATGTTAAAACTTTTTCTGTTGCTATTTATTATTGGAGAAAACAAATCTAACAGAGCCAATCTCCTGGTTGCTAAAATTAAAAGAACTAAACAAATGGGGAGCCCTGAATCTCTATGTATGCATATTGATACTTGATTGTGAATAATAATTTTAAAAGTTGTTTTTATGCAACCTCATTGCTGATACAGGTTGGTGCAGTAAATTGCAATATGACAGTGTAGCATAGTGTTGATGCAGAATATGATTTGTGCTTTTTTTTCTAGTTTTCAAAACTAAACAGTATTGCAAGACAGCTAAACCAATGAATGTGCAACTCCTGCTGATATTGTACAATTTTGCTAACAACTGCAATATGCAAATATAAACATGGCACAATACACTAGCTATTTAAAAAAAGTAAGAAAATGCAAAGCCTTGGTATGTATACGCTGGCAACTGATATAATTTTGATCATGTCAAAAGCTTAAAGAAATAATTGGGCATGCATTAATATCCAATGAAAACTGAAGAAGCTACTCAAAGCCATGGCATGGCTTGAAAGATCAAATGCCTACTGTAGCTGTACCCGTCGTTGAATCGTTACTTTTCTCATATACCTTGTTTCCAGATAAGTATTTTCTCATGTTTGGGATTACAGTAAGAGAAAATAATAAGAAGAAAGAAGCCCGTCCGGGTTTTTTAATTATTTTCGGTGATAAAACAACCTTTTAAAATATATATTTAATAAAGTTATGAAATTAAAAGTACTGGGTTGGATGACTCCAGGTCTTCCTTCAGAAAAGATTACTTAAACTGCATATTGGTTTAGATTTTGCTCTTTTAATCACTTGGAAGCTTGATGGCTTACTATTATTATAGTTTTTCGCTTAGCTTCCCAAAAGAAACCCTTCATGGAAAAGTTACATTACTTACATTTCAGAAGAATTTGCCCACATCCTGAGTTATTGCTTCATGAGGAACTGAGGATTATAGTTTGGTGGCATATAGCAAGCTGGCCCAGCACCATCTGCCCCAGAAGACAAAGTTTGGTGTTTATCCCATGTTTTCCTGGAGCTCTCTGGTAAGGTGGGATGGAGAGTCTTTGCTCTTCTGTTCCCACTTATAATCCCTGAGTTTCTGAATAAGCAATCTTGTTTTCTACCAATAAAAGGTAGACACCTTTATCAAGATGAAAAACTCAGGATTTGGCCCTCCAGGCAGAATTTAATACTATGCCCATAAAACCCAGTGCTTTCAACAGAAAAAAAAAAAAAAAAAAAAAAAAAAAAAAAAAAAAAACCACGAAAGTTTTAGCTTCTGTTTGCAGAAAACTATGTTATCCTACTGTAGCCAAATGATATCAAAAGTTTACCTACAAACCACAGCACTCCAGAAAGCAAATGCAATGTGAACATTAGCTTTGTCAAAAAGACTAGTTTCATAAAAAAAAAAAAAACTTGTGGGAGGACATCCATATTCTTATGCAGAAAAGTATACTTACTGTCTTGTAATGGACAGTAGTCATCTTCTGTTGTTAGAGAAGAAACTTGATCCTAGGCTTTCGAATGAAACATTTTTAAATTACAGTACACTGTACTTACAAAGAGAAAAAAGTCACATAATAAGCTTTGTTGATATTTGCTTAGATCCTTTAAATAGCATTAAGGGATAAATTGTTTAAACTGTTTTAATTTACACTGATGTCATGCAGCCTTTAGCACGTCTKACAAACAACGACCACTAAGGCTATTTACAGCCTGGAACTATACAGAACATGGTCTTAAGACTTAACATGAAAGGTTTCTTTCTAAATTCTTTTTTTTCATTTAAACAACCAGCATTACTGCCAAAACACTGACCGTGGTCCATATTTGTAACAGGTTTTTAACATGACATAGCGGGTTTGATTGACAAGATTTTTAGGTCCTGTACCTTTGAGATTTTAGTATGATCTTTTTTCATGTTTCTAATGCTTGAGGCTTTTCTGCTTAACTTGACAAAAAAAAACAGTGTTGCTGCCATTTGTAAGTTTTCCTATAATATTCCTTTTACTAACTTAAAAACTGGCCTTACTGAGTTCAAATAGGCAGTATCCCTTTTAAGTGACCTTTGCAACCCAAGTGTTACTTGCTGTGGTTGAGCATTTTTTCCGTATCATTTAAAAGACATCAAGACCTTTTGTTCCCATTAACACTGGAGCTCAGAGAGCCTACTTAGTATGTCTTAAGTTCAGAACACAACCTCAATCCTACTAGTCCTAAAAATTCCGGTCCTAACACTCTGGTTATTAAGAAGTAAATATATTAAAGCCTACAAGGCACTGCAAAGCTCTGCTTCCAGAATGTCTCCGAAGGTGGAATATCAATAGCTCCCTTCTTAGTATAAATGTTCCCCAGTTCCATTGGACATCCAAGCCTTTAAAAAAGGCAAAAGTTTTATTTTTTTTCCTTCATACCATAATGTTAATATTGTTAATATTCATTGTACACTACTGTAAAAAGATGAAAACAAAGTGTCTGCAAGCAGTTCCAGAGTTTTGAAAAGTTAGCATCGCCCTCCTCCCAGCAACTCGCATCTGTGCTGTTTATGGTTTCAAAGAAAAATATCATCCTGAAGAAAAGAGTTTCGCTGAGGCTAAAGGGATACTGTCTTGTTCAGATGCCATGAAATTGCGATTGTGACCTGACAACGCTGTCCTCTCTTCTCGTGTCGTATGGAATGTCTGGATCATGCTTTCCGGGGTATTTTTATTGAGATGCTTGGTGTGCGTTCCTGCAAGCAGAGGCTTGGTTTGCTCTCCTAAGGCAAGCAGGTCTTTCTCCCTTTTCTTGTGTTCTCTTGACACTTTTGTGGAACTTGACAAGCCTGGAAAAAAACTAATTTTTTTGTAAAAATTTGTACAATAATGTTATAAAAAAAAATTTATAATCCTAGAACTGTTGTGTTAATTCTTGTGCAAAAACAGTATATTCAGAATAAAAGTTTATCATTTAAAATCAATAATCAGCCTGACCGTTCATTGTGTATAGAAACAGCATGTAGATAGGATCAAGGTAATTGCTGAATAGGATTTCTGACTTTGCTCAAAGATSCTACCAAGAGTTCTTGCAAGCCTCTGAATGCTGATGGAGGCGGCTCCAGGACTCAGGAAGCGACTCCTTCCCATGCAATATTGTGTTCCCAGGGGGTTGTTTTCCCATAGGAAACAGACCTGGGATGGTGAGGGGCTGCTATTGCTGCGGCAGTGGTGATCTCGGGCAGGAGGGCAGGGCAGATGGCTGGAAGTGGGAACCGCTTTTAGCCGCCTGCTTTTAATCCCTCGCTGCATATGTATTGGAGCCCGAGGAGAATGGCAGTCATAAATCAGAGCTGGATTTACTGAATCCCTGGGGAGGCAGATAAGCGGGTAAGAAATCAAATGCAGATTGGAGCGTGTGCAGTCCCGGCTCGCCCATGTGGAAATGCTGCGAGGCAGCGCCTGGCACTGCAGATCCCCAGGCTGGGATTAGTGCCCTCAGCTAGATTAAACCCTGCCGTGAAGCTGCATGATTAACCCCACATGCTGCACTAATTGCACCATGTTCCCTGTGTGCTGACTGCTGTGGAGACGCAGAAAGCAAGCCCCAAATCCCTCCCCAGCACACGTTTAATTTAAATTCAGTGTTACAATTATTATCTATTAAACAAGGGCAAATACCTTCTTTTTAAGCTAAACAGCTACAAAAGTTACTGCATTATATAACAGTGACCTTACAAAAATCCTTCCCTGCTACATGTATTAGCCCCCAAAGCCCCTTGTCATCCTTGCCTGAACCAAAGCACACCCGAAGTGTTACAGCATCCTCATGGCCCGTTGCTGAAGACATTGAAAGCAGAGTCTCCAACAGGCTGCTATGAGATTTTGGTCACAAAGTGTGTGTTGGACAAGAGAGGAGGGAAATGAGATTTTCTTTGCAGCAGAATGAATTCTAGATAGATTCTAACACTATTTCTTCTATTATATATACAGACAGGTACATATGCATGTACATATATGTGTATACCCACCCACCCACACATTTCTCCAGGTTCCTCATTTGGAATATTACCTTCCCAGAGACTGTCTATTCCTTTTGAAAATTTTTCCAGAAGCATTCTTTTTAATAAAACACTCATAACTTTCTTTTGGGGTTGCAACCCCTTTTTTTCTTGTATTCCACTATCCAAGTTACATCCCATTTAACAGTACAGCTATTTGAACTCACAAGTTCAAGTCCTTCCCTTGAGGAGCTGGTACAAGCGACGTCTGCAGTTTGACTCACCTAACATTACTTGTCTAAACTTAGCCATATGAGTTCACTTCTCAGGAAAAGGAGTTTCTGCCTAAGCCATTGGTCCTGCCCAAATTTTGACCTGCCTTAATGATCTGAAAATGGATTCTTAAAAATGAAGCTTCTACTTTAGTTTTAGCATTATGCCTTCACTGTAGATAAATCTTCACATTAGATAAAGCTGCATCTTCTACTTTTTTACTACTTTCATACCATTTTTAACTGGTTCCTGTTGTTACTAGTTTCTGACAACTGGTTTTCGAAAGGAAATGTGAAGTATAGACTTCAGTAGCATTCAGTCTTTCTCTTTAAAATAATCTTTCAGTCATTTTTCAGTCTCTGAATTAGCTGTTTCATACACGAAGTAAAATGCAGGGAAGCTGGAATGTGAGAGATCTCAGAATTTCCATTTTAACTTTTGTTGCTTTAACCCAGACTCTTCTTATGATCTCAGCCTACACTCTGTGGTTAAATTATTTAAAAATAATTGTGTTTGGTATAATAATGCATACACACACACACACATGCTATAGTGTAGGACAAGAGTCTGGGAAGGATAATTAACATGCTTGGCTTACTGACTAATCATTAGTACGAAGTTAAGGTATGTGTGGTTAACTTATTATTCCACTAAACTATTTTGAGAGTCCAAGCAGTTAATGGTACGGTAAGGGTGGCTCAGTTAGCCATATAAGCCTTTATATTTTCAGGAAGTTACACAAAGTTTCTCAGTCATTGTTCATTAGGTATTTATGCCACCAAAACAGCAGGGCATGTTTTCGCTTGGTTTTGTTTATTCATATTGTTTTCATATTTATTCATATTGTCTTTATGTCTGATTCCAAACTTGCGAATCACATAGTGTCATACCTTAAAACACATCCTTAATTTTCAGTAAATGWAGCCTCTTTAAAAACAGTCAGTGCCTAAAGCTAAACAGTCCTATGTAGGATTGAGTTCTGTCTTTGGTTTTGGTAGGCCGACTTGGTAGGCCTTTTTGGATTGGTTATAGCTAGGCCAATAGCATGGAACTCCATGGAAGTTTTTGTTTACGAATATAAGCATACATGTGGACACATGTATTTTTCCGCCCCTTAGATACTATCTATGGATTTCTAGCATTCTCCTAATGAACTTTTGTTTTCACAAGGTTGAGTGATCCTGCTGTTTTTTTCTGTGGCAGGTGACACAAGTAGGAGCAGCCTCAAAGCAGCCTCCATGCGGGGTTTCCTTTGTAGACCCTCAAGGAGAGCAGAGAGGGTGACATCTTGTTTCCTAGGATCTATACTCGAGTGAAATG